GGCCACGACGATGTATGCCACGCTAGGCATCAACAAGCTGGCGTCTGCAGCCTACCACCCTCAAGGACAAGGTCTAGTCGAACGGTTCAACCATACGATCATTCAGATGCTCAAGATCTATGTAAATGACCATCAGACGGACTGGGACACCTATCTACCGCGTCTGCTCTTTGCGTATCGCACGTCGCACTACAAAACTCTTGGAGACTCCCCCTACTTTTGCCTCTTTGGACGGGACCCCACGCTGCCGTTGGACTTGGCGTTTATGAACGCCGAGCCTCCTGGAAGTCCAACGACTTGCCCCAATAAAAGCGTCGTCTGGCCGCGTCTTGGAAAGAGACACGAAACTTCGTGGAACACTGATCAACGGTCAAAACAAGAGTGCAAGAACCAAGGCTAACCAAAAACCCATCGAGTTTGGCGAACAGACAGCCGTCTGGGTCTACAAATACTTCGCCAAGTCGACTCGACCAGACGATCATCGGACGACTAAGCTAGCCACGCATTGACATGGACCCTTCCGAGTCGAACGCAAAATGGGACCAAACACGTACAAGATCGACATACCATCACACCCCGACAAGATGGTAACTGTGAACGTCGACCGACTCAAGCCATTTCGGGGCTACTATTCACGCCCGTTCGACGACGAGATCCCCGAAGCTGACGAAGCTTCCGACGAATTGCCGATCGACTGCCTACCCTCGTCCAGCTTCGTGGAACGAGTGTCTTTTCCAGACGACGACGTCGCCGATTTTCCGGGTAGTCGACCTGTGACGTCTACCTAACTCCCGCGAAAAGGAGTACTTGGTCGAACATGCCGACGGTATTAAGTACTGGATGGCCGACTCCAAACTGGCCGCATACCGATCTTTTGTGGACGACTTCGAAACATCTCGACGAATGGACATGGGATTGCCACCACTTCGGCGTTCGAAACGGTACAAAGACCTCGACGTGGAACCCCAAACGCTGGTTCAGTTCTAAACTACCTCGACAACAACGACGACCGCTCCTTCTTCCCGACTGCCCCTGACGTAGTAACCATGATGCGTACGTTGAGACCCCGTTTTTATCACACACTAAATAACGAAATACACACAAACTTTCACGAAAACCTCATAGAAAACACATGGGCTTCCAGCACCAGTATTCGTTGGGGATGATCCCAAGGGAGTATAATCATGTGTTTGTTTACTATACTGGCGTGTCATCAGGTACCCGTATGGTCAGTCACACGCATGGCTAATTGAGTTTTGGGTTGGGACGCCGTGACAGAGTACTCTGAGTAACTGTACTGCTAAGTTCAAAGTATATAGTACTACTATGGACTACTAGTACTACTAGAATTAATGTGCACTGAATTGTCAGAGTAATTTACAGTTAACACGAATCGACGCCAGCACCAAGCACTACATTGACGACCACCACACTCGTCAATGTAGTGGCTGGTGGTTGGTGCTGACATGGCGGTGGCATCTGCCGTCGTTGAGTATTCCTTCCTCAACGACGGCAGACGCCACCGCCATGTTAGCACCAACCACCATGCAGCCCCGCACACGAATGAACCACGCAAGGATGTCGACGCAGCACCTGCCACACCACTGCGCATGTACCATGCATGTCCAACCACTTCAGAATTATACGAATAATCCCGCACTTACAAGGCAACAGTGGAGAATCACATGCAAGGTACTACGTAGTAGTTTTAGAACGACAGTGATGACAAGATTACATGCAGTGAAATGAGCGAGTCTTCGTAGTACTCTTGCATCATTTAACTCATGTGTGTATAGCAAACACCTTCACAACGCAATTACCTATAGTGTACAGTATGCACCAACTCAAGGTTGGATCCTTGCGACCACAGCGATCGACTTTGACTACATTACATACAACACAAAGATCGCCTTGAGGCGCTATCACCAAGTAACCTCTTGTCGGTACCGTCGAGCTCACGTCTCACGCCGCCACTGTGTAGTCTCTTGCCTCCGACCCCCGCACACGCAGCCGCCCCATCGAACTTGAGGAAATAATGAAATGAGATGTAAGGACTGGCGGGCTTTCCACATACACCCTGATTGGACAAAAAAGCACACATGGACTGGCCAGATTCTACATTACTGCAAGTTCAAGTACAAAAAAGTACGATTGATTTCGGGATTTGAACCCGGGGCATTAGCAACGCCGCCACATATCTCAACCACGACACTGTTGGAGCTGATATACTGTACTGTATCTGTTTGAACTTTACAGTATATTAGTGCGAATTATAACACTGTGAGCACGACACCGTTGTTTGTTCCATTGGTGTCGACTCGCAAAGCAACTAAGCCATGGATTGCACTACCGGTAATGATAGTACTAGTATTGTACTACTATGACAGTTCGGTTGTAGATAGATGTGCCTCACGTGTAGTGGTACAGGTTGCTTAGTGCAATGTGGGTTTACGTGCTGGTACAGTACACTGTATTCGCATGGATGTGTGTGCATTGGGGGTTTGGGTGCATACCGAAGCTATTTCTAAAGTACGGTGGTTAGATGTAGGGCATTATGGATAGCCTCGAAGCTAGTGTACACCTAGAACTACTCGTCGTAGGGTATACACTTTTGTTGCCGTTGAAGGCATGCTGTGGCACTGGTACTAGAGTCGGCACAGCGTGTGTTAGCTAGAGTTTACATGCATTGTAGGCATGGCTGGGTACATACTAATATACATGTGAAATACTAGTACACTACAATGATGTTCGTGTTGCTGAGATGTTCTACTGGTACCGTATGTAGCAAACTCACGAATGTGGTGATAAGGCAACTACATGATGGGCCATAATCCCGACATCGCTACTCGTCTGAAGCCAATATTATGGTGTGCATGCACCGTATAACTTGCTGCTGGCTTTTATTTTTGGCAGTAATAGTGAATCCCCCACCCCCCTTGCTGCTAGCTGCGGTCAAACACACAGTTTACTCCGTGCTAATCATGCAAGCTAACTTCTGAGGGGGGCATTGAAGCTAAGGGGGAACATAGTACAGTAGTTGTGGGGGAGCATAGTAGCTGAGGGTGTGAATAGTGATTATACTATGTACGTAATACCCTGGACGATCTCTCTGGCTTTGATTAGTGACAGTAATAGTGAATCCCCCATCCCCCCTGCTGCCCCCTCAACTACTGTACTATGGTCCCCCTTATCTTCAATGCCCCCCTCAGAAGTTATTTAGCTATGCAAGTTATATAGCTTGTATAGCTATATAACTTCTGAGTAGCTGAGGGGGAGCATAGTACAGTAGTTGAGGGGGAGCATAGTAGCTGAGGGGAAGCATAGTAGCTGAGGGTGTGAATAGTGATTATACTATGTACGTAATACCCTGGACGATCTCTCTGGCTTTGATTAGTGACAGTAATAGTGAATCCCCCATCCCCCCTGCTGCCCCCTCAACTACTGTACTATGGTCCCCCTTATCTTCAATGCCCCCCTCAGAAGTTATTTAGCTATGCAAGTTATATAGCTTGTATAGCTATATAACTTCTGAGTAGCTGAGGGGGAGCATAGTACAGTAGTTGAGGGGGAGCGTAGTAGCTGAGGGGAAGCATAGTAGCTGAGGGTGTGAATAGTGATTATACTATGTACGTAATACCCTGGACGATCTCTCTGGCTTTGATTAGTGACAGTAATAGTGAATCCCCCATCCCCCCTGCTGCCCCCTCAACTACTGTACTATGGTCCTCCTCAGCTTCAATGCCCCCCTCAGAAGTTATATAGCTATGCAAGTTATATAGCTATGCAAGTTATATAGCTATGCAAGTTATATAGCTTGCATAGCTATATAACTTCTGAGTAGCTGAGGGGAAGCATAGTAGCTGAGGGTGTGACTAGTGATTATACGTAATACCCTGGACGATCTCAGTCACCAGCAAGTGAACGACTCCACCTCATACATCTAAACCCCCACGGTGTGTGAAGCGACTTGGTGACAAGGTCTACTTAATCTGCAACTTCGGTACTTTTTAACTATATCTTACTGCTGTACACAGTCACAGACATCAATGGGTCCAAGTAGGAACAGTTTTTTGCTGCTACAGTACTAGGTATTGTAGAGGGCTGCCACGTTGGCGAAGTTAAGATTGCTGCTTGATGTGTGGTGCGGGTAGCAAAAGGAGTTTGATTTCAAGAAAAAAAGAAATTCTACGAAGGGGTTCGAACCACCGACCTTTGCCACTCCAAGCATACACAGCTTCTACCAATGAGCTAATTGTGCCATGGCAGAAGGCAACGAATATATCAAATAAAGCATTTCATGAGTTCATTTATTTAGCGCTTTTCAGTTAAACATCTGATTAAACAGTTGTATGTGATCAAGGTGTAAATAAATTGGTTTTTATCGAGAAAATATGGACCCATTCACTGTTGTAAACTCACTGCAACAGGACCTTGACGACAGTACTGCGCCAACGCTCCATGCCAGGCAACACCATGCCCAGACTGACATGGTGTTGCCTGGCATGGAGCGTGGCGCACAGAATCTGGTGAGCCGAATTTGTCGGGGAAATACTGAAGGCAACGCGTTTCTTTTGCGTGGAGACCGCAACATACGAAACTAAGTAGACTATGTCTAGCCTTTGATTTGAATACATTTTCGCTATTTGTCACTGTTGTGGACACTAAAATACATACTGGAAGTTTCCTGCACACCTTAATTTGAATACATGTTTGTATGTTCATTACTGTTACGGTCACTAAAGTTAAGCTACACGATAATCACATTTAATTCCTATTGGTTAGACATGTTCGACTTAAGCCAATCAAAATACATTCCTATTTTCAGCTCTTTACTTATCGTATTCTAATTTTGGCCAATGTCAGCACTCTATGTAACGGAACATTCGTATCATTGGATGTTTATCAAATATTGTCAGAACTATCGTCCAATGACACGCGTCTATTTCCCTAAAAATTATCGGATACGGTAGCACTAATTCTTCCTTGTTTATCAAGTAAGAGTATAGCTCAAATGGGTAGAGCGTTGGGGTTACACCCCAAAGGTTGCGGATTCAAATCCCGCACAGGGTATTAATTTGGGGAATAATGGGGTCAATAGAATGAGCACCGCTAAAACTGCGAAAGAGACCATGGTGTAAATATTATGTTGTGCAACGTTACTTCGCATTCTGGGATGGGTACCTTCGGGAAGCCATAATTCCGGTGGATGAAATGTCCACTGTCCAACAGTTGAAGCACTCACCACCCAAATCCCAGGGAGAAGGAACAGCACAGCAGCTCATTCGGCGAATAATTCTTTTTTAATCTTTTTTACTTTGTGACAAGCGACAGTAGTACTAGTAGTACTACTTGAAAATTGTGACAATCCACAGTATCATGTGGCGACTTTAACATAATGACGAATTGATGACAGCATGATTGCTGTATCACTGACGTTATATTTTTCCCAAGGGATCGATCCCAATTTGTCTGCAAGCTGGAAATGGATGGTTCAGATGTTTTCTATTTCCGTCCTAACTGTTCAAGAGTTTTGGTGTGGATTAGGAATTTTTTGTGTGGAATTCGGTGAATTGTGTGTTGTGCTCGGCGAAGTTTGTGTGGAATTCGGGATTTTTATTGTGTTATTGGGTCGTGTGTGTTTTTCGTTAAAATTTGTGATATTTTCGGTCGTTTCTGTGTGTACTTCGTTATTTAGTGTGTGACAAAAAAGGTCCTCTGCGTACGTTGGAAAATGCCCTACCCAGAGAACCACAAATCGACGATCTTACCAACGGGCCGAAGTCAACTCATGGTCGCCGCTGATTGGCTGCCTGACTGAGTGATGGATGGAGACTACAGTCAGTTACCGTCTGAAGACTGTTGTCCGACGAACTATTCTGACCGACTATTTCCTTGTTTTCCGACCTATTTCGTCCAATCATCTGCCCCGTCTGCGATAATATGTCCGTCCAGTCTGAGACTACCAGCACCTGGTCCCGGGTTCCGTCGTACATTTTGTCGTGGCCTCGTCGTACCGTGCTCCATAACCACTCATTTTCACGCGACCTCCTTCCGGCTCCTCCATCTGCACCACTATCCTCGGCTTTGTCGGTTGTCAGCGCCAGCATCACTACTTTTGTGGCGACGAAAATCGACTACGTGCAAATTGGACCTTTTACCCATTTTGACCTACCCAACTCCGTCGATTCATTTCTAATTCGACGAGAGGGTCGAATCTTCGCCGCGGGACTTGTGACGGAGCTGGAGCAGGGGCTTGTACTACTTTACCACATCGTGGTAATGCCATCGCAAAGGTATATTATTCGACGGGCCGACTACCTTCGAATTTGACCGTCTTGCCTTTTATTCTACAGGACCTTTCCCCAAAGGTCGTCAGCTTTAGCTAGCTTTTAGATAGTTCACTTTTACATTAGCCTAACATTGGATCTACTCCTTTCTTGCTGTATTCTTCTTGGCCAAGCGGAGAGTATCCGGTCCTGAAGTCCGAACCTCCAGACCTACGTAACTTTTGTGCGTCTAACCCCTACGACCGTCACACAACATTACAGCATACACGTAGCTCTATGAAGAGGCCCCGTCGAGTCTGTTAGCAGCGACACTTGGTGAACAGTCTTCACTGAAGACTTTTCACGAAGTTCGCTACGAAGACGGGCCCGCCGGCCTTGTACTACAAATACGCCGACGACTTAAACCACGACGATGCACAGGACGCGGAAGAAAGGTGGTATGTCGTGCTTCGTGCGTTGGACTCCCACTGGATCGAGTGCGAGAACGTGTATCACTTGTACCGGGCATTCCTCACAGGCTTCATCTGCGACACAGAACGCCTGTGTCAGGTCTAGCTACCAAGGATAATTGTTGATTCTGTATTTTGAAGGCAGCAACCGCGTGCTGCCCGAGTACTGCGCTTACAGTCAGTACCACCGAATCCTGCCGATTGGTGCTGCAAGGAAGTTGTTGGCCAGCACAACTACCCCCTCACGAAGGTGGCGGCTGAACCAAAAGCGACCTGTGAGGACAAAGTCGATTGTCCTCACAATTGGCCCATTCTGATGATTGTTAATCAAGTTTTGCAGTATCTTTAATTAGGTTTTACAGGTATACTTCCGGTTTTGGCAGACACAGCTGAGGGTGATGATAAATATGAGTTGCGAAACCTCTCTAATAGTACTACATATTTCCATTTCAATAGAACGACCAAGTTAGTAGAGTGATTTTGCTAAGTTGAAATTACCTGTGAAAATTCTGGAGTACTCGAGAAGGATCTAGAAATGAAAATCCTGTGTGAAATCATTTTGCTACATCAAAATTTGTTGTGAAAAGTGCATGCCTGGCATGGACGAGTCGATTGTACTCGTGTCGGCCATGGCACTACTGCTAGAAGAGTCCCAAGAGCATACACGAGCTATACACATACCTCGCGGCCGGTTCAACCTCATGGCACAAAGCTATTCAACGTGCGCCTTCCACTTTCGCTTTAAGAAAAACGAGATTCAGCAATTGAAAGTGCTGCTGGAGATTCCCGACCCGATAATCACGCCCCAGCGCTTCAACGCGAGCGCCGAAGAAGCCTTATGCATCCTGTTAAATCGCTTTACGTGTTGAATCGCTTGACGTGCGATTCAACAGAATGCAGAGGGCTTCTTTGGCGCCGAGCAGCTGCTTGTGCTCATCGTACTCCTCATCTGTTCCAGACGCACGAAGGGCAGCAAGGGTTTGTACTTGAAAAGCAGACATTAAGTCGTCATAGCGTTTTCGTGCTCTGTAGACCATTATGGCTTGGTCATAGCGACCAGGTACTGTACATGTACTACACATGCTGCGTCTGTGGGGTCTAGCTGTCGGTATCGATAGTTTTCCAGTCGACATCCGACTCCACTAGTACGAAGAGCTCTCTGTTGTGTCGACGAGTCTAGTAACACTAATTGACCACGTACAACTGGACCTATCACGCTAGAGATGCTCTGTGATCTCTGTTGCTTCGAACGGCCTAACATGAATGACTTCCTTAAGAAGCTCGACGTCGGGGCACCCCTTAAAGCGGAATGCTGTCTTACGCTTCAGCACGGACTCGGACTTTTGTTCTCTACCACTTCGTTGTCGTCCATACCCCAAGAATGTCACAATGAAATTTCAGTTCTCTGTGAGGTGTTATGACAGTGATTTTTCTCGAACAAATTTGCCTGTGGATGGCACCTATTTGTTCACAGTGATTTTTCCACAAAGAATTATACATAGAGAATTATATACAGCAAAATCACTCTAGTTTCTTGGGCTTTTCAAATGTATCCTCCTGTTTTCCTCAACGCTGACCTCAAGAAGCGGCTTTAACTCGCACATGATTCACAGCTCGGACTGACTAATTAAGGTAATTAATTACATTCATTTCCGGCAATACAAACACCAAGTAAAAGTACTCTCGTTGAACAGGCCTCATCCGGGTAGCAGCACGGCCTACGGCCTACCTGCCGCTTTTCCCGACGAGAGGAATCGATTGGACATTCGGTGAAGTGCACGATTGGGGCTCACTCCTCGCCAAGGCACCGCCTGCACAAATTTATACACACGACCTCCGCTACGCTGCGGTGCGCGCAATTTTGTGGGCGGATGCTCTGTCGTCGCTCACAACTGTAAGGCTTAGTCGATGTTGGAAAAAAAAATTAAACATGGGACTCGAACCCTCAACGTGCGGGTTCCAAGCCCAATACTGAATCCACTCGCCTAAATC